GTAAAGAGGAATTAATGTATTAAGTTTCAAAGCTTTTAGAGCAACAGGGAATTGCAGTTAAGCAGCGCACCATAGAAGCCTTCCTTAGAACAGTGGTTGCAGTGAGTCCGTGGTTCTTAACAGGAGGAGGCTTAAATATTTCAGATTGGGGACAAGTAAAAAGGGACCTACAGAAACGATTACATAAGGAGGGTCCCGATAGTTTTCCTGTATCCGCCTTTTCTCTAATTCGCCAACACCAGGCATTGAGTTTTAAAGATATGAAACAATTAAAGGAGGCTGTATCGGCTTACGGCGCTCAGGCTCCCTTCACTATCGCTATTGTGGAGTCGTTTGCTGCACTGAACCTTGACCCTAGTGACTGGCTACGGCTGTGTCGAGCAGTTTTGTCCGGCGGGGATTGTTTGCTGTGGAGAGGGGAATATCAGAAAAGTTGCATTTGGGCAGCGGGACTGGGTGCTCAGGCAGGACAAGGACAGCGTGGCTTGGGCATGTTGACAGGCACTGGACCCTATGCTGAGTTGGCTAATCAAATCATTTATGATCCTGCGGTCTATCTCCAAATAGCGGCAGCGGCTACTAGAGCATGGAAAGCCCTGCCTAATAGCTGGTAAACAATTATCTAAGGTTTTATAAGGGCCCTCTGAGCCTTTTCAGGATTATGTGGACCGGCTATTACAATTGACTGGTAGACTGTTTGGGGATGTGACCACAGCTATGCCAATAAAACAATTAGCATTCGAAAATGCCAGTAAGTATTGCCAAGAGGCCCTCAGACCCCATAGAGCCAAGAGTTTGAATGAATACCTCCGCATTTGCCGAGACATTGACGGCCATTTTATCCAGGGTCAAGTGATTGCTGCGGCTTTTAAGCCGGGGAGCGGACAACGGTCAGTAGGAGATAGAAACTGCTTTACTATTGCTCCCTATTGTCGCCATCGGCAATGCGATAGCTAGGCCTATTAGAGGCAATCAAGGGTTTGGTTTCTCTGGCCCTGCAGCCTTCTGGACTGCCACCATGCATGATAGACCCATGCTGGCTTCTCCAGCACGGGTAGTGACCCCATATTATGAAGCTGTGTTGCAGCTCCTATGGATAGCTATTAAAGCAGCTAGCCAAACCTTTGGAATTTACCCCCATACCATCATTACCCCTTATGCCTCTGCTTGGTGGAAGGCTATGTTTCAATCTACGGGATGGGTCCAGAGGTGGGCGGGAGCACTCTCCCTCACACTGCTACTGCTTTTAGGACTTGTAGCCTGCATGTGACTTTTTTGCCGTCTCACACGACAGTCCCATAGGAGACATGCCATTACCCAGCCAGTTTTGCATGGGATGATTGGTGGCGTCCACGGGACTCATCAGGTGTGGCTATAAATGTTAAAAGACTCCTGACTCTCCCTATGACGGGCAACACTGTATGCTCGCAGCGCCTGCCTAAGACAGGGTTGGAGGTTACCCAAAGACAGGTAAAGGCATTGGGTAAGTGGTGACCTAAGACAGGGGGGTCAGGGCATAAAATAAAAAGGGGGGAATTGTTGGGTCCCAGCCGGCATGAGCCTCCCCAACCACTCCCGGAGCTTAAGCACAAGATATAATAGGAAGAAGACATCTTGCCACCTGTGTGAGTGGCTTAACCTTTGGGCAACTGATTAATATCCACCCTGATCTCAGTAGCACATGTGAGGGAGATTTCCTCCTGCCCCCAGGCCAACATCTTGGAATTAAGGGTATAAAAGGGAGGCTGGAAAGGAATAGGAGAGAGAACGTTTTGCTGCAACCATCTATGTGTGCTGACTCTTTAACCTCGACGTCCCCTGCACAGACTCGTATCCCTGCTGTGTGGGTGCAGCACTTCAGATCTTAACACAGGGCATGTGCACCTATAAATACAGATACCTAAACCAAAAATCCAGCAACCACAGAAACTAGAAAGTTCTGTTGCTGCCTACCTGCCTCCCTGCCTGCTGGTCTACCTGTGTACCTTGTCTTTAGCTTCAGTATTAAAGACAGGTCAGATACATCTAAGGCTCTGAGATTCTTATTCTGTTTGTCCAAATGAAGAGTGAAACTTCACAGCCTGGAATTGTTATGCAACACATACAATATTTACCTTTTTCCATCTGGCTCACTTCATTGAGAATAATGTCATCCAGTTCCATCTGTAATGCCACAAATGGAATGTGTTTACCTTTTTGATTGTTAAATAATATTCCATTGTGTACATATACCACATCTTCTTGATACATTCTTCAATTCTGTGATATTTAGGTTGTTTTAATATCTTGGTAGTTGTAATAATGCTCCTATAAATACAGGACTATAGGCTTCTTCTTGAATTCTTATTTTTGTGCTCTTTAGAGAGATACCTATGTTACAGGACACCCCAATGTGAATTGGATTGCCCGTCTGTGGGTCTTCACCCATGCACTTACAATTCAATCGTATTAATGGACACACTCAAAAAGGTCAAATAATGGATTTATTTAGAAGGAGAAAGGTAAAGGAATAACCAAGGGAAAGAGGAAGGGAAATACAAGTTAACTAGAATGTCCTACCAGTTCTGCTGACTTGGACTCCACCTGCACGCTGAAAACCGATTGAGAGCCAAAATGATTAGACGCGAACCACCAGGCCAAGCCAGTTTTTAACAACAAATCTGCACCTGAAAAAAACTAGAAACAAAAACCACATATGCATTTAAGGTAGTCAGTGCCATGGGGAAGCCAAATTTCCCCATAGGGCTGACTAACCACGAGGCTCTAATCATACAACATTGGATGTCAAATCTGTTACAGGACACCCAAGAGGGCAGGGAGAGAGAGAGGCACCCCTGAAGCCCCAAAACCTGCCTGCTCTAAGTGGGCTCTGCCATCCACCGCAACAAGACAAAACATATAAAACTTCAATGAACAGGGACTTTAATACAGTAAATATACAATACGGAACACAAAGAATATAACTTCTAAATCAAACACCTAAAGTTACCCATCCCCTCATGGGCAAAAGTCAACCCAAAAGGGATTGGCTCAAATCAAGTCCTGAAAACCTGCCACTAGACTAAAGCATCTCTGGCCGGGACCCATGGAAAAGGGTCAGAAATGGCCAGACAAACCTGAGAGCAAAAGAGCAAAATCAAAATCAATATAAACACTGCCATAGTCACCTCCCTACAGGTATCTCACCCACATCTGCCTTTAACCAGTCTAGGGTCAGGAAACAAGCCCGGTTTCTTCATCATATGCTTGCTGCTCCATGTGGCTTCCTTAGGTCTCGGTCTTGTCCTCCATTCAGCTTCATTCTCTTCTTTTTCTCTGCTCAGTTCCACCCTCCTTCTGGGTGGGGCAGGGAACCTGGAACTTCCCCTTTTCCTAGGGACCACCCTGTTACACCTAGAGTAGAATTGTTAGGTCATAAGGTCAGAGTTTTGAAGAATCTCCTTACTTCTTTTCATAGGGGCTGGGCCTGTTTACATTCTCACCAGCAGTTCTGTTTTGTTTTGTTTTATTTTTCCCTGTGAGCCATTCTCAGGGGTATGAGGTCGTATTTCATTGTGAACCTGATTGTACTTCTTTAACAATGAGTGATGATGAGAAATTTTCTTATCATCTGTCTGTTGGCCATCTGTGTGTCTTCTTTGGAGAAGGGTATATTTTGCTTTTCTGGTTTTTGTTTTTTGTTTTTTTTCTAATTGGGTTGTTTGTTTTCTTTTTGAGTTGCATAGTGCTTTGCAAATACAGTATCAGTCCTTTATCAGATATGTGGTATGCAAATATTTTCTTTTATACAGAAAACTCTTTGTTTTGGTCATTGTCTCTTTCACTGTACAAAAGTTTTTTGTTTTGTTTTTGTTTTGTTTTGTTTTGTTTTAGTTTGATAGAATCCTAGTTGCTTAGTTTCTTCTTTGTTTACCATTCTGATAGAGATGAGTCCACTAATATGTTACCTAGGGTTTTGCCATGGAGAATCTTGCCTATATTTTCTTCTGTGCATTTCGCAGTTGTAGGGCTTAGATCCAACTATTTTTTAACACTTTGAAATGATATTTGTTTATGGCATAAGAAAATGGTTAAATTGCATTCTTTTGCATGCAAAATACATGAATCCAAGTAATGCAAAATAATTTAAAATATAGTATAAAATGTTTAGAAATGACAAAAGAAATGGGTAAAATTTTCAAGTATAGTTCTGGGTAGGACTTCCAGCATTTTGTTAAAGAGCAGTGATGAAAGTGGACATTATTGTCTTGTTCCTGATCTTAAAGGAAAGGCTATCAGTTTTTCACCATTGAGTATAATACTGGTTGTTGTTCTGTCACACATGGCTACGGAGATACTATCTTATATCAGTAAGAACTGTACATATAAAAAAAATAACTAGCAGCAACACATATTGAAGAGGATGTAGGAACTCTCCTATACTGCTGGTGGGGGTGCAAACTAGTCAAACATTATGGAAAGCTGTGTGGAGGTTCCTTAGATTACTAAAAATGAAGATACCATATGTACCATATCACCCAGCAATAATTCCACTCCTAGGGATCTACCCAAAGAACAACAACAAAAAAAAACTACACTATTTATAAAAGATAAGATACTTGGAAATCTATATTTATAAAAGATAAGATACTTGGAATCAAAAAGATATGGTACATATTCACAATGCAATATTATTCAAAAACAACAAAAATAAAATCTAATACCATTTGCAGCAACATGAATGGAAGCAGATGGGATTATGTTTGGTGAAATAAGTCAGAAGGAAAAAGAAAAATATTGTATGTTTTCACTTACAGAAGGAATATAGGGGGAGTAAATAGGTATCAGGGGAAAAATAAATAAAAAAAGAAAATACAACAAAACTAAATAAAAATAATCGATAGCTACAAATTAGAGATACTCTTCAGGAGTGGGGGAGGGATCAGGACCAAAACAAGGGTGGGCATAGCATAAGGACAAGGTGATTGTGCACAAGTGAATTGGTGGTGTAAATTCAATGGGCATTCCATCTGATGTAAAATATACACAAATAAAGAAAATAAATAATAAAATAATAAATAAAAAGGTATGTTCCCATATTTGACTAAAAAAGAAATTCGAATATATAAGTGCTAATTCATACTACAATCATCACAAAATCCAGAAAAATAGTGTAATCTTATTAATGACCTATATTTTCTAATCCTATAATACAGATAAAGATTTTCCTTGTCCTAGATCACTTCTATAATAAGAAATTCTGGTCCCGCAGGTTAATGTTGATACTAGGTATGTTGTGAAAGGGAACAGTAGAAATGTCATCTCTATCCTTAAGAATGACAGCAATTCTTGGGCCCTCCCTGGTGGCACAGTGGGTTGGAGCTCTGGACTGGGAAGCTAAGCCAAGCACTTCTCTCTCCAGTGAGAGTTTGTTCCCCGACCCGACAACGGTGATCCACATGGCCAGCAGAACTCTCCTGTCACTCCAGCTGCTCCCCTCAGCAGTGTACTTTGTAGATCTGTCTGTTCTGCTTCCCACTTCGTTTTTAGTGAATCCTTTCACCGTCCCTGAACCTTTGGCTCTACCCCATTTCTGTATGCATAAATAAATAAATCTTAAAAGAATTTGCTGAATAAGTTGAGGTATTCTAGAAAAATGAGAAAGATTTGAGAAATATATGATAATGTAGGAGAGAAGCTATGTGTATACTTGCATCGTAGAATTTTGATCTATGTGAATGTATTTCCTATTCGAAAAAAAATCATTTAAATAACAAAATATAAAATAAAGCTTAGTTCCTTGATAAAACTTGGTTCATAATCTTAATGCATTCTTTAAGATGTATTTATATACTAGAGCTGGGTTGTAGGCCAGAGGTGCAGGGAGGTGAGAGGATTCACTAGAGACAGAATAGGGAGCACAACAGGTTGGATTTACTGAAATACACTTCTTAAGGAAGCAGCATGTGAGACAGGAGAGGTCTGCTGCACCATGTGGGTGAGTTCCCTGCCTGGGGATAAAACTTATGTTGCAGTGGCTGATAATAGCTTCACAGTGCTGATACTGAACTCCTTGTACCACTAGGGAGGCTCCATAATTATAACTTTAATAAGCTTTTCAAATTATGCTGGAGAAAAAAATAACTGAATGCTTTGAAAATTCTTAGGAGTATAATAGAGTTATAGACTCAGTTTTTATATGTGGATCCCCTAGACACACTTGTTCTCAGGATTTTGCTTGGCACCCAGTGTTGTTATTGATTAAGCTAAATGTAGAGTCAGGCAGGCGGCTTCTCACCAAGACAAAAATAGTGGCATGAGGAACATAGCGAAAAACCAGTATCTGCTGAAAACAGCAGACATACATTATGGCCATATTAGCATAACCAGCTCGCTGGACTACCTTGACAGAAAGTTAAGTGTAAATAGGGATTATATATATATATATATTGGTCAGCAGAAACAGTGGAGCCCTCTAGGAAATAGCTCCTATTTACTCCCCCC